TCGTTGCCAAGCGACGATAACCCAACCCCGATGGCAAACACCGAGGGGGACGGCTTGTTTTACAACGTCGTTGCCAAGCGACGAAAACCCAACCCCGATGGCAAACACCGGGGGGGGTGGGGGGCTTGTTTTACAACGTCGTTGCCAAGCGACGAAAACCCAACCCTGATGGCAATCACCGGGAGGGGGGAGGTTCGGAGGAGAATTTTCGTCCGTGTGCAACGAGCTCTTGATTAAGCAAGAGTTCACCCCGGCTTACAGTCCCCAATACAACGGTGTTGCAGAGCGTGGTTTGGGATTGATTGAGGCGGCGGCAGTGGCCGCTCCTATGCAGGCAAAAGTGTTGTTCAGGCATGTACAATTACCTAAGACTGATAGGCTATGGGCTGAGGCGATGCAATGGGCTTGCGAAGCAATAAGCCACACAGCTTGTTCTGCCAACCCCGACAGGAAGTACCCGTATGAGATGTGGCATGGTGAAGCTAGTCATGCTAAACCGTACTCGTTTTGAAACCGGCGTACTGACGGTGGCAGCGTCCGTCTACGTTGCTACCGAAGGGTGAGGCTTGCTTTTATGTCGGTCCTTCGAGAGACCACGCACGTGACGGTCACAGAGTACTTACGAGGGTTAGAATTATTCAGAAAACGCGGAATGTGAATTGGGAAGCGTTGCCGTCACAACTCCCTCCACCGCAACCGTCTCTCTACCCGATAGAGACCGCAGAGGAGGGAGGGGAGGAACGTGACGACGATGTAGAAGCTGAGGTATGGCCGCTTTTAGGGAGAGGAGTTCCCCGTATTCTTTTGCGTCGTAGTGTAACGGTCTCTGGTGGAGCAATCGATGAGGTTGGCAGTGTTGATACAGGCAGTGTAGGTCAACCCCCCTCTGTACTATCTTCGTCCGCGATCAATTCCCCAAGTAGCGCAGCTCCCCCTGCGTCTTCTCCAGTAGACGAGTTCACCAATGAGGGAGGGCAGGGAGCGCGGGAGACAGGAAAGGCAGAATCGGCGGGTCCGGGAGGGCAGCAGGTAGAGTCGGAGAGTCAGGTAGAGTCGGAGAGTCAGGAAGAGTTGGTTGAGCCGGGAGTGCAGGAGGTAGAATCGGAGACACTTCCCCCTGCTACGCACGTACCATCCAATCGTCGTGCGCCGCATGAGCTTGTTAGTTCAACACTGCTGTGCATGAGAGTGTTGAAGTCAGAGAAGGCAGAACCCGTGCGCAAACTCGGGCAGTAAATTAGAAAAGCGTATCCGGCCTCATGGCCACTCTAGGACCCATCTCCGCATCAGAAATAATAGAGGCGCTCTTAGTGGAACAGAGAGCATCTGATGCAATGGAATTGCCGAAAGTGCTCATTCAGGACGTAGAGTCAGAATCGGGTAGTTATCAAGAAGCCCGCCAGTCCAAGTACTCCACGATTTGGGGCAAGGCCATGTCTGCAGAATTTGAAGGCCTGTTAAGAGCAGGAACGTTCGCGTTAGCAGAGAAGGCTCCACTAGGCTGTAACGTGATAAANTGTTGAAGTCAGAGAAGGCAGAACCCGTGCGCAAACTCGGGCAGTAAATTAGAAAAGCGTATCCGGCCTCATGGCCACTCTAGGACCCATCTCCGCATCAGAAATAATAGAGGCGCTCTTAGTGGAACAGAGAGCATCTGATGCAATGGAATTGCCGAAAGTGCTCATTCAGGACGTAGAGTCAGAATCGGGTAGTTATCAAGAAGCCCGCCAGTCCAAGTACTCCACGATTTGGGGCAAGGCCATGTCTGCAGAATTTGAAGGCCTGTTAAGAGCAGGAACGTTCGCGTTAGCAGAGAAGGCTCCACTAGGCTGTAACGTGATAAATGCTAGATGGGTCTACAAATGGAAAGCAGATGAAACAGGCAAGATAGTGAAGGCCGAGGCCAGGCTTGTAGCGGAGGGTTTCAAGCAGAAGCACGTTGTGGATTATCTTGGGACCTTCTCGCCTACTGCAAATGCTTCATCGATTCGCTTGTTGGTAGCATTGGCGTGCAAGTATGATTTGGAATTTTTCCACTTTGAAATTGAGCAAGCGTTTGTTCAGTCGGAACTGGATCACGAGGTGTTCATGAAGTTGCCTCCTGGCTGCAAGTCGATGACAGGAAAGGTAGTCCGTATAGACAAAAGTTTGTATGGACTGAGGCAGGCATCTAGAACATTTCACAAGAGACTAGTGTCGGACCTGAATTGCATGGGTTTCGAACAGTCTTTGTCTGACCCCTGTGTTCTTCGTTTCGTGATGGGAGACGAGGTGTTGGGTATGATTGCGATTCATGTGGATGACATTCTGTATGCAGGAATTGAGAGGCTTGCCACGATGGTTGTGGAAGCGCTAGGTGACTCTCTTCCCACGAAGAATTTGGGCAAGGTCAGGTTCTTTCTTGGCTGCGCATTCGTTCGCGACCGCGAGGCTGGCACGATTGAGATGTCTCAAGAGAGTTACATCAGGAGTGTTCTCGAGAGATTCAAAATATTTGTCGCACCAGCTCGATCCCTGCTTCCCTTGCTAACGATTACAGGTCCGTGATGGAGGATGAGGGGGCAGGAGATGTGCCGTTCCGAGAGGTGGTGGGGAGCCTGATGTGGATCGCCAACCAGACAAGGCTCGACATCTCGAATGCTGTGCGGGCGGTGGCGAGGCACTCACACGAGCCGAAGACAAGCCACCGGAAGGCGGCCCAGAAGATTCTGAGTTATGTTCTGGAGACGGCACATCTAACTTTGATGTACAAGCAGGACACTATGGTAGACGTTGGCACGTTGGAGTACGTAGACGCAGACATCGCCAGTAAGACCACTGACCGTAGATCGATTTCGGGAGCAATAGTTCTTGTAGCTGACTGTCTTGTTGCTTGGATTTCTAGGACGCAGAAATGTGTCACACTTTCAACAACTGAAGCAGAGTATGATGCGATGGGTGATGGGTGTAAAAGAGGCTTTGTTTTTCAACGGAATGCTCGAGTTCTTGAGGCCTAGTGATAGAATTGGTAAGATTCAGGTACGAGAGGACAACGAAGGTGCAATTGCAATCCACTTGGTTCGTGTAACAGTAAGCACATTGACGTGAGGCACCACTTTCTTAGGAATTTAACAGAGGAGGGAGTGTTGGAAATTAGACATGTCTCTAGCGAAGGACAGCATGCGGACGTCCTGACGAAGGCTCTGCCGAGAGGTCTTTCTTAAGTTCATCGAAATTTTGCTATAGGCTCGAGATCTGAGAAGTAGAAGTCTGAGTCGTGTTTGTTTTTTTGTTTACTATTTCTGATATAGATTTGATCTTGCCGAGACAACAGCCCCAAGGGAAGGTGTGCCGTGATAGTTGTTGCTGCGTGTGTCGACAGAGTAACGTGGAACAACTTGATTGGACAGTTTGAATTGCGGGACTGTCGGCGTTGCAGATCGCTGAGTAGCCACATATTATCAGAACAGCAAGGAATGTTTTTGAGGAATGTTCCTAGTGGATGGTGCATTGCCGCGAGTGTTGTTGTTCTTGTTGTTTTTCACATGAGCTCTATAGTCCACAAAAAATGGGGAGCCCGTGGTCTCAAAACACAGCACATACGACGCCGCGGGGAAACAAAACAAAAATAGGGTACAAACCACTCCGACAACGAACACAAAATGATGGAAAGAAAAGAACGGATACCGCACCGACCGTTCCAGAAAAGAGCCGTCGGAAACCGATCAAAATATAACAAAATAAAGNGACTGTCGGCGTTGCAGATCGCTGAGTAGCCACATATTATCAGAACAGCAAGGAATGTTTTTGAGGAATGTTCCTAGTGGATGGTGCATTGCCGCGAGTGTTGTTGTTCTTGTTGTTTTTCACATGAGCTCTATAGTCCACAAAAAATGGGGAGCCCGTGGTCTCAAAACACAGCACATACGACGCCGCGGGGAAACAAAACAAAAATAGGGTACAAACCACTCCGACAACGAACACAAAATGATGGAAAGAAAAGAACGGATACCGCACCGACCGTTCCAGAAAAGAGCCGTCGGAAACCGATCAAAATATAACAAAATAAAGGAGGACGCTTCCCACACCCGCCTTAAGAAAAAATCAAAGGGTGACGTACCAGCACCAGGCACTACGCACCAGGGCATGGGAGTAACGGAACAAACAGGACAAAGAGGCGGCAGATGGACAGACAGCCAGATGTACAAAAACAAAAGAAACAGCAAAAGCGAGATCAAGGTACCCAACACAGCAGCGTAGGCAGGGAGGACATGAAAAAAAGAAACACAGCACAGTGGCCGAACGCAATACAAAGGATATACATTAAGGAGTATAGCATAACAAGCAGGGAGGGAAACAGGGCGCAACAACATCAGCCGGTACATAGTTCGCCACAAGTGCTGCCTCGGCCGCCCTACGCGCTTCTACAGCAGTGCCCGGTCGCCGTTTCTTCCCCCCCACCGCCGCTTCCCCGACTCTCTTTCTCTTCGTTCCTGAGATGGCCGTGCTCTCCGCCTCTGCTCCCTCGCGCGCTGGTGCTTCGCGGACGCTTCCGCCTCCTGCCTGTGCCATTTCCTCGTGAGCCATGCCGCCCCGTCCTTGACCTTGTTGTACCACACCTCCGGGTCCTTGGCGCCCTCTTTCCATTTCCCCCCTTCCTTTTCGTCTCCCATGTTGAAGGCCACGAGGTCCTCTCCTAGACGAGACACCCAGTCGCTCTCCTGCCCGCCCCGGT